TGCCTAAAGACACAGCCTAAACTTCAGCCCCGCTTTCTGTCTCTGGCCCCCATGAGGGCCTTCGAGATAGTAGAGGCCAGGGGTCTCCTGGGAGCTTTGGGCTTTCCTCAGAGGTCAGCCTTTCCAGGTCCATTTTCATGGCAGCGCCTCCTGCACACACTACTTTAGACTCTTTTCAAAGTCCTTCCATCTGTGCTAATTTATTAGGCATTCACAATAGCCCATGAAGTGCAAGTATTATTTGCCTCATTTTATGGGCAAGGAAACAGACCCAGAAAGGTTGAATAACTTGCTGAAAAGCACACAAGTAATTAATGTTGTCGTGTGGTGAGGTCCTGGGAGCATCATGTGGCTTGGTCCAGCTTGGACTTTGGAAGCAATAAGAAAGTTGTTTACACCAAAGTCACAGCTTAAAAATATTTAGTGGCACTAGGTGTGGGGTAGTGGAAAAAGTAAGAGAACTCGAAGTTCCAGCTGGGTTTGCTTCCTGGCTCTGCTACTTAAAACTTGGCAAGTTACTTCACAGTGTGTAGCCTCAGTTTGCTAATCTATGAAGTGGGGATGATAATACCCACCCAGCAGGTAGATAGTGACATAGTATAAATGAAAGTGATTTGTAAAATGGGGCATATTCCAATGCTTGCTTTGCATTATTATTATAGTTATGGTGGTCCAAGCTGAGACAAAGACAGCTGTTTCCTGAAGGGAAGGCAGGCTCACATCGGATACACACCCTCTAACCACCTTATCTAAAAAGACTCTCTCTGGCCCAGTGACTTGGAAATCAGAAGCCATCCAGCCTGACTGCTCTTCCTTGCCAGCTCAGAAACACCTGGATGGTTAGAACAGCTCCAGGGTGTGAACACACACTCTTCTTCCCCAGTGGGTGTCTTGAATTACTTTAATCTGTATCTTTATAATAGGAAAGATTTATTTTTCCTATTAAAAAACTAGACTATGCTTACTAGAGAAATTTTGGAAAATATTGAAAAGTAGAAGGAACAAAAATGAAACCATCCTTCTACTTTCCTCCCTTACAGAAGCCCACCTCAATCAGTATTTTGCTGTATTCCCTTTCAGTCTTTTTTTCTCCTAGGTACTTATGATATCTTTTAGCAGAGCAATTCCCTTTTTTTTTTTACAGCTCTAGTGAGGTATAATTGATCTACCAAGAGCTGCACATATTTCAAGTGTACAATTTGATAAGTTTAGAATTGGGCAGGACAACTCAATCTGTCTTCCTTGCTTCATGAATGTCATGTCCACCTTTGAATATTTCTATTTTAATTTTTAAAAATTTAAAATTATTTCTAGTTCTATCTATGGGATTTTTTAGCCTATATTTTGTTCAATAAGAATCTAATGAAAAGGAGTCCTAAAGGCCATTAAGGTGGTGTCCTCTCTTAGGAATGGGTCTGGCAGCTGGGAGGCCTTGCTCTCCAATGCTGGGACTGGAGCTGGGGCTCTCTGCAGTTCCCCCAGTGGTGAGGAGAAGGTGGCATTGGCTAACCAGAGGGAAAGGGCTCTTTGTTCTCAGGTCCATTTCCATTGAAAGGTAAATGGAGCACTAGTTATTCAACACTTTACCAGGTGGTTGCCCCTCAGGGCTCAGGTCTTCACAGGAATTGGGGTGATGACTGTGAGGGTGGGTCCCCTACAAAGCATTGGCATAGGGGAGCCTTTGAGATACAAAACTTGGTGGTTGGTTTCTTGCAGTCTGGTAATTCAGAGTTCCCATTCCCCTTCCTTGGCCTCTCCCATCCCCAACTGCCCCATTCAGCGTCCACCCCCTTTTCTATTTTGTAACCCCCCTTCTTTTTTGGTATAAGTCAAACTGCCCTTAAGCCGAGAGTATATAATTAGAATAGTGGGCATTTGAAGTGATTGGTATTCCTAGCTGATCAGGCACCCCAATGCTCTTTAGTAAAAGCTTGGCTATTCCCATGTGGGGACACATTTAAGGCTTTTCCCACTGCCTTCCATGGAATGCCTCTCCCAACTCCCCACCCCATCAGAGGCCTAGAGAAATACAACTCACCCTACAAGGCCCAGCTCAAATATCATCTCCTTTGAACCTCTCTGGAGGCTCTCTCTTCGGTGCTCCCACAGCTCTTGGTTCAGGCTGGTAACAGAGTATGACACATATTGGGATCTGGCTCTTTACCTCCTCCTTCATCTTGCCTGGAGTTCCTAGATGGCCAGGATGGAGCTGTGTCCTTTTCTCCTATCCCAGTCCAAGTAGTCGAAGGAGCTTCATAAATATTTGGTGAGCCAAATTACAAAATCATGACATTTGGCTTCCTCATATCTCTCTCTCTCTCTCTCTCTCTCTCTCTCTCTCTCTCCCCCCCATCCTCATTTTGCCATCTTCCCTTCTCCCTGAGGTTACAGTAACACCAACACATCACAACTGTAACCCATATTTATCAAGTGTGCTGATTGTCTACACTTGACAGGGAACTATGCTCTCTATTCATCAAAATGCCCCTCTTTGATCTGACATGTCACCTGCCCTTTCCATTCCTCCTCCCTGGGTGCCAGCAAGACCATCTCCATGGTTGCAGTGTTTATATTCTCATGAGCCCTAGATGGACGCTAGCACAGGACAGAGCTTGGTCTTCTGTCCCTAGAACTTAGTGGGGATACACTAATTCTTTAGTGGAATTCAGCACTCAGAGTCAGCTTCCTAGGCTGGACCAGAGCAGATCATGGAAGCAGCAGGGTTATTCTTGACACTTCAGGGAGAGAAATGTTTAGAGCTGCATGTGCTGTCAGGCGTGCTTTATAATGAGGACAATGGGACAAAGATGTAGGTTTTCAAATATTTTATTAAAAACAAAATAGGTCAATAATCCTAAAAACAACAGAGGTAGACTTCTTCCCACCTCCCAATCTACTATCATTCCCCTTCACCAAGGCGCTACCTGGATGGTTCTGAGACCCAAACCCTACCTCTCAGCACCCCCTAACTGAAGAACTGCTGACTAAACCTCCATGCTTTCTTCCAGCTTCTTATCTGCCCCCTTTAAGAAAATAAAAATACCCCCTCCCCAACTTGCTTAAAAATAATTTTCAAAGATTAAAAATGGCATTTGTGTTTTTTTAAAAATAAACATTTTAAATGTTGGAAATCTCACTCTTCTTCTAGGCCTAGTTGAGCCTCTGGGGTGTCTGCCCGCCTCACCCCAGGAGGCCAGCTGCCACTTGGTGCCCCTTGGAAATTTTCAGGAAGTAATTTCTTCCAAATTTCCCCTGCAGTCACAAATTCCACACACTGCTTGCATAAACACGCTGTCTTCATTATAGGCGCTGCTCTTCGGCTCTGGAAACCTGATCTCTTTTTGTCAACTAGACCACATGCTTCAGATTCCCTGCAAACAGGAGAGAAAACAAAATTCAAATTCCGGTAACATATGTGCGTTACACCTCAATAAAGCTGTTTTTAAAAAGCACTTGCATGTTGCGACTTGTTCTCTTGCTGTTTTGGGGAACCCAGAGACCCCAACATATGGACCAGCAAGTCCAAGTTAGCCTGTTGGATGGTAAGAGTCATATGGCCCACTTACCGCAGCAACCACCAGTCACTCATCAGTCATGTGAGTGAGTGAGGCCTTTGACAGCCAACAGACTGCAGTGCTGGGTGAACCCAACCCAAACCAGCAGAAGAATACCCAGCTGAGCCCAGCCCAATTGCCAATCTACAGAGTCATGAGCTAAACAAGTGACTGTTTTAAGACACACACACACACACACACACACACACTCAGGCAACACTTCACTAACTGCATCAAGTTTACACTTCACTAACTGTATCACATTTCCCCCCACTCCCAACCTTTCTTCCCCATTTAGCAGGGCACAAACCTCCTAGTATTTTCTCTTGTGAACATCTGTGAGATATGAATTTGGGCTTTTCCCTGCTCTCAGACCTAAGAGTTTTTGAGGGACAAGCGACCACTTGAAATCCTACAGGATTGGGCTCTAGGAATGTACAGTTTGCTCACTTGGTCTTTTTGCAGTGTTTTCCTTGCCCTACACTGGGCTCCAACCACTACTGACCATTTCTCCTCTAAAACAGGAAGAAGGCACTGGGACCTACTTTTGGTTCATCTCCAAAGTCTAGCACAGTCCCTCACACAAAGTATGTGCTCAATAAATGACTGCATAAATGGATGAATGAATGAAAGGAAGGAAGGAGAGAAAGAACAAATTAGCACTCGTTACCTATCTAATTTTAAATTAACATACAGTACAATTGACTTTTTCTTATGTTCATTTCTGTGATTTTTTAAAAGATATATTTTTATTGATTTTTTACAGAGAGGAAGGGAGAGGGATAGAGTTAGAAACATCCATGAGAGAGAAACATCGATCAGCTGCCTCCTGCACGCCCCCCACTGGGGATCGAGCCTGCAACCAAGGTACATGCCCTCAACTGGAATCAAACCCAGGACCTTTCAGTCCATGGCCCGATGCTCTATCCACTGAGCCAAACCGGTCAGGGCATTCAATTCTGTGATTTTTAACACAAGTATAAATTTATGACACAGAACAATTCCAGCAACCTCCAAAATTGCAATCTATCCTCCCCAACCCTTATTACCTGGCAACCACTGACTTATTCTCTATCCCTATGAGTGCTGTCTTTTGGAGAATATAATCTACACTAATAAAAGAGAAACATGGTAATTGGCGTACGACCGCAACCCTTTTCATTGGCTAATCAGTGAGTATATGCAAATTAACTGTCAGCCAAGATGGCGGCCGGCAGCCAGGCACTGAAGCGAGCA